TCAGCCTGCTTGAAGGTTTGTGGGCTTCATCTCTCTTCCCACCCTAATCGGGCTGGGCTGAAGCCTTCTTCTCAACTTGGCATGGCTTGGAGACCAGCCCAGGGACCTGAGACCTTCCCACAATGTCCTCCTTGCTGATAAAATATTGATGTTAAAAGCTTTGGGCCAATCCTTCTGACTTGGAAACGGCTTGTCCGAGACTGAATCGTGAGTCTCTGCCAAAATGCCGGGCTGCCACTGAGTGGCTAAATGGCTCGGGAGAGGTTGCCAAAGCTTCATTAAACTTCTTGATTTATTTGAGGCTTTCTGGATCAGGGTGGGTCTCTTAAAAGCTCCTTGTTTTGTGCCAGAAGCAGTTGCTTTCAAGATTGCTCAGAAACTCTCTTTCTATACATTAATCTACCTTGGCCTGACCCCCCTCACCACCATGCTAAACTTTCACATTAGAAAAATAAAGTCATTCTTTTCCAAAATGGAAAATTAAGCCATTGTGTTTCTATACAGCAACACCCCACATTTTCAAATATGAGGGCTTAGAATAGTAATGTGGAATGATGAACAATCACTAGAATAATGATGCGTCTGCATAATTACTGAAATAGTGCTGTGTTAGTAGTATGTGACTAACCTAATGCGCATTGCACTTGGATACAGTGTATGTAGCAAACTCTCCATTGTATACCCGTGAGAAACGAACCTAATGTATTACAATGTGTATTTCAATCTGTATTCCTTTGTTCCTGAGAAAAAAAGGAAAGTATAAAACTGAAGTCTGAACCTGCCCTCGGGATTCAGAATTGCTCGTTGCTACAGCTTCTGAACCTGCGCAATAAATCTCTCTGCTAAAACCCTCTGATAGGGTTCCTTAACCTTGGCAGCATAAGGCAGGTGGACTTCAGCCCCCAGAATTCTCCAGCCAGCATGCTTAAAGCTTGCTGGCTAGGGAATTCTGGGAGTTGAAGTCCATCCATCTTGAACAGATCATGAACTGCTAAGACTGAGAAACCTTGTAGTAAAGGAAGAACTGAAATCCATGTTCAAATCCAATTTAGGATCAAAGGTCACAAGTGACCTGGACTTTATGAAAACAATCACCAGCTTATGGGGGGGGGGGGAATCAGACTCCATCTTGGCCTTGAGACCCCAGAGGCACCTGGTTAGCTGCTGAAAGTGCTGGGTTAAAACAGCCGCTGGCTATCTTATCAGCCGAGCCCTAATCTACCTCACAGGGTTGTTAGGAAGGTATGATGGACTCAGAAGCAATTCCCTGCCCCGACCAGCTTATTCCTTCCCAAAAATAAAAATGCACCCAGGAAGAACAGGACTCAGAGGTTGCAACATCAGTCAGCAATTATAAACACACACACACACACACACACACACACACACACACGAAATTGCACCATGCACAGCGCAAAATATATAATAAATGTGTTGGAAAGAACACAGTTCTGCAGGACGGACTTTAAGCTTCTGCCTTCAGGCGATGGAGGCTTGGCAGATCAACCCTTCTTCAATTTTTCCAGTTGGATTGCGTGCTGAAACAGACAATGGGGGAGGTTTATCTCTGGCTGTGGGTAATTTGGGGCATAACCAGGCAGCTTAGACTCCTCTCAGTCAGCTGGAAAAAGCAGGTCTGGTCTGGCCCTCGAAGCAGGGAAGCGGAACAGGGAGACGGTGCTAGGCCGGGCACAAATAGTCTTCACCTTATGGCATAGCTTGCTTCCCAGAGTGGTGGGGGCTACATCCCTGGAGGCTTTTAAGAAGAGACTGGATAGCCATTTGACCAGGATGGTGTAAGGCAAGGGTCTGCAACCTTGCCAACTTTAAGACTTGTGGACTTCAGCTCCCAGAATTCCTCAGCCAGCTAAAACTTACAAAGAATAGTTGCAGGATTTGGGTCAAACCGACTCCATTGAATCTCTGAGTCCTGGTCTACCCAGCCTGGCAGCCAAGCAGGTAGACCAGGGAACCCCGGCAACTCTTAGGTCAGTGGTTCTCAACCTTTTTAATGCCGTGACCCCCCAATCGGTCATAAGTCGAGGACTACTCAACTGGTGAGTAGGAAAGCTGTGCCCCATCCTGACGAGCAAGTGCTAAGCTTTGATGTCACCTGTGTCCAGAAAACACTGCAGAAAGTTAACATTCGGAAAGCAGCAGGCCCAGATAATATCCCTGGATGTGTCCTTAGGGAATGCGTACCGTATATGCCGGCGTATTAGGCGACCCGGCGTATAAGACGACCCCCGTCTTTATAGCCGGGCCGCATTCCTAGAACGTCGTCTTATATGCCGGAAACTACCAGTATTTCCGGCGTATAAGACGACTCGGCGTATAAGACGACCCCCGTCTTTGGCGCCGATTTCAGCGCTCGCGGAAGTCGTCTTATACGCCGGCATTTACGGTAGATGAGCTGGCTTGTGTTCTCACAGATATTTTCAATCTCTCATTGCAGCAGGCAGTGGTCCCATCGTGTTTTAAGATGGCCATCATCTTGCCA